TCTCAATAGCTGTTAAACAGAATGTACAATTATTTTTTTATATCATGACGATTACACAAAAATTTTAAGAAAAAATTATGGATTCAAATGGCTTACCTTTTCAAATATCCTTTTACCTGGCCTTAAACAATTTGATTTCAGGAAGTTTCAAATCCTTTATACCATTTTAACAATTAATTTAAGCTGTTGACAATTACAATGAATTTGTCAGAAAAATCATTAAGATATATAAAATGTGTGATGCTTTGTAGGCTTTTGAAAAACAGCTTTATTTAGATGTAATTCTCATGCCCTAAGTTTCACCCTTTTAAAATGTTCAATTCAGTAGTGTTGTTTTTTTAAACGTTTATTTATTTTTGAAAGAGAGAGTGAGACAGAGCACCAGCAGGGGAGGGGCAGAGAAAGGGGGAGACACAGAATCAGACGCAGGCTCCAGGCTCGGAGCTGTCAGCACAGAGCCTGATGTGGAGCTCGAACCCACGAGCTGTGAGATCATGACTTGAGCTGGAGTCAGATGCTCAACGGACTTAGTCACCCAGGCATCTCCTCAATTCAGTGTTTTTTAGTATATCCCCAAAGTTAGGCAACCATCACCATAATCTAATTAGAAGTATTCCTAACATTCCAAGAAATTCATTCCCATTGGTAGTCCCTCCCTGTTACCCCTTCTACCTAGTTCTTGGCAACCACCCATCTATCTTCTAGTCTCTGTGGGTTTGCCTATTCTGGATATTTCATATAAATGGAATTATGTGACATGTGTGGCCTTTCACGTCTGGTTTCTTTCACTTAGAATGTTTTCAAGTTGTAGCATGTATCACTCTTTTTATGCTGAATATCATTTCACTGTGGATATACCACATCTTGTTTATCTATTGATCAGTTGATAGGTACTGGGTCCTTTGCAGGTTTTGGGTATTACAAATAATGCTACTATGACAAAGATGACTTGCAAGTTTTTGTACTTGTGCTTTACAAGTTTTGGACTTTCATTTCTTGGTTATATACTTAGGGCTGGAATGGCTGGATCATGTGGTAATTCTAGGTGTAACCTTTTGAGGGATTGCCAAATTGTTTTACAAAGTGTCTGCATCATTTCAAAATCCCATAAGCAAGGTATCAGGGCTCTGTTTTCTTCACATTTTCTCTAATACTTGCTAATGTCTGATTTTTTTTTTCTATAGTTATCCTAATGGGGTAAGGAGTAGATCTCACTGTGGGTTTTGATTTGCATTTCCCTGATTCTTTTTTACGTGCTTATTTGCTGTTTGAATATCTTCTTTGGAGAAATAGCTATTCAAATTATTTGGCTATTTAAAGAACTGGGTTGTTTTAATTATTGAATGCTAAGACTTCTTCATATATTCTTTATATATTTTAAAGTCTTATCAGATACTTGAATTGTAAATACAGTCTTTCATTCTTTAGTTTCTCTTTTCACTTTCTCTGTGGTGTCTTCTGATGCACAAAGATTTTAGGTTCGATGATGTCCAATCTGCCTACTTTTCTTCCATTTGTGCTTTTGGGGTCACATCTAACAAACCATTGCCTGATCCATGGGACTGAGATTTCCTAATTTCATTTAAGGATTTAATAGTCTTAGCTCTTCTATTTCATCCATTTCGAGTTAGCCTTTGTATATGTTGTGAGGTAAGGGTTCAGCTTTACTGTTTTGTCTTGCAGATATCCAATCGTCCCAGAGCCATCTGTTGAAAAGACTATTCTTTCTCCCACGGAATTGTCAGTGGCACCCTGGCAAAGGCGACTGACCAAAAATTTGTGGATTTACTTCTGGGCTCTATTCGGTTTCACTGATTTCTATGTTTATCTTTAGGCCAGTGCTACACGGTCTTGATAGCTTGGAAGTTACTTTTGAAACTGGGAAGCATGAGTCCTCCAACTTTGTTCTTTCTCAAAATTGTTTTTTATAGGGGTGCCTGGGTGGCTCAATCGCGACTGCGGCTCAGTTCATGATCTCATGGTTCGTGGGTTCGAGCCCTGCATTGGGCTCTGTGCTGACAGCTAGCTCAGAGCCTGGAGCCTGCTTCAGATTCTGTGTCTCCCTCTCTCTCTGACCCTCCCCTGCCCCTGTTGTCTCTCTTTCTCAGAAATAAATAAAGAACATTAAAAAAATTAAAACAAAACAAAATTGTTTTTTATGTCAGGGTCATATAAAAATGATTATTTCCTGAATGAGTAAATGGATGAATGTTTGCATTTTTAAAAGTTTTGTCTTGAGGGTGAGGAGGTTTTATTATCTTTAATGGAATCGTAGCTAAGAGATAGTGCTATTTAGATATACATATCCTCAGAAAACATGCCAGGATTGGTCCCGTTTTATAAAGATGACTTTGATGGCTAGGTTTCTACCTGGGCTGCTTGACAGAAATCATTTCTCAGGTTTCTGTAATTGGTAGCATGCTGAGGGCATAGCTGGCGCTCGATAAATATTCATCGATGAAATGCCTTGTTGTTTTGTCTTGTTTTAACCTATCGCTGGTTTTGTCGCTACTCTTTGGTTGACCGTTGCTAAAATTTCCCATTTTTCCAACCTATTCAATAATGGTAATTTGGTTTAGAACCCACCTTTCCCAAACTTCTGCCTGTGTTCCTCACAGCACCAAAATATGCTCCACGGATGCTTTCCCAGGATGGACGCATTAGGAATTCTTTTCAGATGGCGTATCTGGGAATTGGCTTTGCCTCTCTCTTTCCTACCCCAATCTCTTTGCTATCACTTGCAAGGGAGTAGCCTCCCTGGGGCGGAAAATTCCCATTGCCAAGGCTGGCAATCACTTCTGCTTTGAGGTTCCTGAAGTGTCATTTCCTCCAGGAAGACTTTGCAGATTGAGATACAGAGTGGACACTGATTCCATAGTGAAAATGCAGTCTTGCGTAGCCCACCACATCCTCGCACCGATCCCACAAGATAAAAGGGAGGAAAAAAGCCTTCATATACGTTAACATTTTGTATTTTCACACCTTTGTTTTTATCTGTCTGTTCCCAACTTGGTACATCCTGATTGGGTACAGTGTTCCTGTGTTTGACCCCCAAACCTGTGAAAAAGCATTCTCGCTTTAGGATTGAAATTGAAGTTTCCTTATGTCCGTCCAGGCTCCTTGTTATGCTAGCTCCGCTAGGCACTTAATGGGTACTTAGTAAACACTGAGCTTTTTTTTTTTTTAAATTAATTATCCTGTCTTCTGTTTCAGAACACCAACTAGTGAGAGGCTAAATAAAGGTAGAGCTCAGTGTGAAGCGCTTAATACACAGAGCAACAGACACTCCCACAAAAGCAGTGATGAAATCTTAAGTCCTCTCTCCCTTTTCTAGTTAGCCATGGGGGCTACGAGCTTCCAATAGGGTAGCCCACCAGCAGTTTTTATTTCCTTCTGAGTGGATTTACCTAACCGGTCGGCAGTACCTGAGCAAAAGGCTCACGGCCGGGATCCCGACGGTCACCAACGCCGCGCCCCCGTCGCCCCGCCTACCGTGGCAAATCAAAAGTCCTGGCCCGTGTCCGGAGACCGGGATCCCAATTCTGGTTTCCCCAAACTTTAAAGCCCTGGGGACTCATTCTGCGTTGATTAATTTATCCAGTAAATATTAGCTCCAGTTCTATGCCAGGTACACTGCTAGGTCACCGTAGCAGCGAACACGACAAACTATTTTCACGCATGGAATGTACATTTCAACGGAAGGTTGGGGGAGGGCGGAAGCGTACACCGTAGCCCACGGTTATTTCCCCATTTCTTAAAACGACTGGAGAGCTCCCAGGTTCGGTTTGAACTTTCGGGGCCTGTTACTGGCACGTGATCAAAGCTCAGAATGTGGCGAAAGCTGCCGCTCCTATAAGGTCAGTACACGGTCGATCATACGAATATTCCAGCTCTCTTCTACAGAGAGGGTACAACCAACAGTTGAGCATAACTCTTTTCACTGTTCTACTCGGCGTCGGTTTTGCACCGCGACTCGGACCCATGGTGAGTAGACGCATCTGTTTCCCAAGGGCCCGAGGTGGTTAGGCATGTGGCATTTAAGGCTGTTTGAAGGGCTTCCCTTTGCCCCAGTCATGCATGTATCTGCCAGTCGTCAGGGGCTAGGGGGGTGCGGAAAAGTTGCTTTCGGCTAAGCAGGGCAGCACGGTCCTGGGGAGGGCGCGAGGCGGCACGCTGCGTTAACATTTGAATCCACAGAACTGAATCAAGAGCGCGGCAGCGGTGCCATGGCCCTGCAGAGGCCGGGCAGGTTTTAAGGAGGCGCTCTGTCCTCCATGCCGAGCCTGAAAGTTCCTGCGAAACGCACGCTGTCAAAGCATCGAAGCTTCCCTGAGCAGCGCGCGTGCCGCCATGATCCGCAGCCGCAGTGCAGAGCGGCGCCGCACCCAAACCTGTGGCACCCAGCGGCGGGCAGCCACCGCCCCCTCGCCCGCCGCGGCCGGGAACGCCCAGACCGCGCAGGCCACCCGCGCGCACCGCTCTCCCGCCCGCGCCACACGCGCGCGCGCGCGCGCCCGGCCTCCACCCCAACCAGCGCCGCGGGCCACGCCCATGACGTCCGCCGAACGGGGCGGGGCGCGGGCCGGGGGGCGGAGCGAGCCCGCGCTGCTGAATGGGCCGCCGCGACGAGCCGCGCATTCCAACGGGCCCACGTGACGCGGCCGCGCGGCCTGAGGTAAACAACCGCGGCCCCGCCTCCCGGCCCCTCCGCGGGCCCTGCACTGCTCCTCGCTGTCGGGACGCGCTCCAGCGGGGCGGGCGACTTCCTCCGAGAGTCCCCAGCGGCCGCCGCGGGCCGGAGCAGCGGCGAGCGGGCGCGGCGCCCCGGGTCTGCGGGCCGAGCGCGCCGGCCGGGGTCGAGCGCGCGTCCCCTCCCCGCCCCCACCCGCGCGTTGTGGCGCAGCAGGAATTTGGCGGGGACCCGGGAGCTATTTGCGGCTCTTGACGCGCCGGCGGCCGGTGGCCCTTCGGTCATTTCTATTCTAGGGGCACTGGGTCATCGCGCCCGGCCGGCCCCCTCCCCCGGGCCCGGAGGGTGTGCCCCCCTCACCGGGGCTCGCCGCGCCTATAAGGGGCCCGAGCGGCGGGCAGGGACATGCAGCTCTACAGCAGCGTCTGCACCCACTACCCAGCCGGGGGACCGGGTCCCACGGCCGCAGCGCCCGCTCCTCCCGCCGCCGCCGCCGCCGCCGCCGCCGCCGCCGCCCCCTTCAAGGTCTCTCTGCAGCCCCCGGGACCCGCCAGCGGCGAGCCAGAGCCCGAGACCGGTGAGTGCCAGCCCGCCGCGGCCGCCGAGCCCCGAGAAGCCGCCGCCGCCCCCGCCGCCAAGATGCCCGCCTTCTCCTCCTGCTTCGAGATGGTGTCCGGGGCCGCCGCCCCCGCCGCGGCCGCCGCCGGCCCGCCCGGGGGGTCCTGCAAGCCGCCGCTGCCGCCGCACTACACGTCCACGGCGCAGATCACGGTGCGGGCCCTGGGCGCCGACCGGCTCCTGCTGCACGGGCCCGAGCCCGGCGCCGCGGCGCCCGCCGCCCAGCGCGGCCGCTGCCTCCTGCTGGCCCCGGCGCCCGGCGCCCCGGTCCCGCCGCGCCGCGGCTCCTCGGCCTGGCTGCTGGAGGAGCTGCTGAGGCCCGACGGCCCCGAGCCCGCCGGCCTGGACGCGGCCCGCGAGGGCCCCGACAGAAACTTCCGACTGAGCGAGCACCGCCAGGCCCTGGCCGCCGCCAAGCACCGAGGCCCCGCGCCGCCGCCGGGCAGCCCGGAGCCCGGCGCCGGCCCGTGGGGCGAGGAGCACCCGGCGGACAGGAGCCTGCGGGGCTGGGAGAGGGCGGGCGACCGCGGCGACCCTCCCGCCGCGGACGAGGCGCGGCGGCCCGACCCGGAGGCCGAGGCGCCCCCGGCGCGGAGCGGCGAGGCCGCCCAGAGCGGCGGCGCCGAGGCGGTGATCGTCTCCCGGCCGGATCCCCGGGACGAGAAACTGGCCCTGTACCTGGCGGAGGTGGAGAGGCAGGACAAATACCTGCGGCAGAGGAGTAAGTACCGCTTCCACATCATTCCCGACGGCAACTGCCTGTACCGGGCGGTCAGCAAGACGGTGTACGGGGACCAGAGCCTGCACCGAGAGCTGAGGGAGCAGACGGTGCATTACATCGCCGATCATCTCGACCACTTTAGCCCCCTGATTGAGGGCGACGTGGGGGAGTTCATCATCGCCGCTGCTCAGGACGGGGCGTGGGCCGGGTACCCGGAATTGCTGGCCATGGGGCAGATGCTGAATGTGAATATACACTTAACTACTGGAGGGAGGTTGGAGAGCCCCACGGTGTCTACCATGATTCACTACTTGGGCCCCGAGGATTCCCTACGGCCTAGTATTTGGCTCAGTTGGCTCAGTAATGGACATTATGATGCGGTGTTCGATCACTCCTATCCTAACCCGGAGTATGACAATTGGTGCAAGCAGACTCAAGTGCAGAGAAAACGCGATGAAGAACTTGCCAAATCCATGGCCATATCCCTGTCCAAAATGTACATTGAACAAAATGCATGCTCTTGAAGTGTCTGGAAACGTACATCCTGGGAGAATTGCATACGTAACTTGTGTTGGGAGAATTACGAACTCTAATCAGGGTAATAGCACTTTTAAACTTCCTCGTAGATTTACTCTAGGTGTAATGCCTTAATCATTTTGTTGAATGTTTTCTCCTCAGAGCTGAAGGTTGCTGGGCACCTCAATGATGTTTCATGATGGCTTTCGATGGTCCCACTGCTATTTATAACTTGCTGTATAAAGTTGGCACTCCTTCATTTGCAAGCTCGTTTCCCACGGTGTAAATGTGTTCATTCCTGGTAATCTGTTTTCTATACAAATGTATTTTTGCACAACGTTTTTAAAAATCGGTGTACCTTCCTCCCTGACGCGTGTTCCATTTTGACAGCTTCCCAGCGTAAATCCAGAGAAGTGCTTTATATGGAGTTTATTGCTTTGAGCAGAGTTTGTGACTTAGTAGTTATTTTGTGTTGTTCACTTTGAACTTTATGATGCTTCAGTAATTATTTCAAGTGGATATTGATGGCATTCGTGTTACCAGATGATTGGCCCATTCCATTTTGATGAAAAACAGATTTGTTGTTCCGGAAATCATTATTTTTCTAGAAATGGTAAACCTTTTAAAGAGAAATACTTGAGGGGAGGTTGTGGGAATTTTCTTTAAGGGATAGTACCAGCTCTTACTTGAATGAAAGTCTGATATTTGCTGATAGCGCAGTGACGACTCTTCTGTACTTGGGTTGGCGTTTAGAGTGGATTGTCTGGTGCTCTGAACTGTTTTTATTTATATTTGTTATTTTGTTAAAGAAGCATTTTAGCTTTGTGACAGCTAGGATAAGCCTCCTGCCTTGTATAGCTTCTGGGATTCAACTAAGATTTGAAAAACAGCATAAATGCCTTGAATCAACTGTCGCGGTTGTTTTTTTTAGCAGGAGAATACTGTCTTAATATTCCTTTTAAATTCTCTCCAAAGGCAAAATAGGACTACCCGGTATTATGTACAAATAAAAACGTCTGTAAACAGATCTTGTATGGTTTGCTGGGTCAAACAACTGTCCCCCAACCTGAAATCTATCTTATTTCCACTTTAACTACTTTCAGTCATATTTATTAAGTACTGCAGTTTGTACTTTTTTATTTTGTAACATTTTGTGATTTTTTTGTACAATGCTGTATTTGTACAATAGAGCGATTCTCAGCCGATGGAATGAATGAATAAAATGTGTAATTTTACTTTTACCATGTCTTTTTGGCCAAGGTGGTTTTTTGCATTTCAAAAGTGACACTTGGGGGGGAGCCTTTTCTTAAACTGGTTGTGGCTTTTTTCACGTGTGAAGCTGGGAGGTTTCTTAAGTTCTCACACAAGCAGGGTAGGATAATCATTAGTCATTTCAAAGGATAAGTCTTAGTGAAATAATAATTTAAAGGTGGAGTAACTCGGGGCATTGCTCTCATTATTTCTAATTATAATTCCTGTCAAGCTATAGAGGCTGGCTAGTAAACAGAGACGTGCAAGTGTGGTGTTAACGAGCACAGGGTCTAAGTATCATAGTTTTGGGTTTCACTTATTCACTTGTTAAATGCTTCAGAGAGTAACCAAAGCAGTGCCCTAATTTTTATCCAGTCTGGCCTCTGGAGACCATGGGGATGTATTAATTTTAGAATGTGTTTGGATTTAGTTGACAAGGACACTTGTGTATATATAATCTGGGTATATTGTTTATTGCGGAAAACAGCGAGTTTGGATGTTGTACTTCGCAGTTGAGATGGCCTATGTTTATATGTCCTGGTGATAGGCGTATTGGAGCCTGAGTTCATTGCTTAACCACATTTTTGGAAGAATGCCAATGGTTATCAGGACGATTTCCTTTAAATGTTAACTAGTGAGTTTTTTAAAATGCTAACTAATCCTGCATCTCTGCTTGTTTAGGTAAGGTAAGGTCTCCTTCATGGCTTCACTGACTGACTTGGGAAAAAGTTATTTCAATTACTTGGCAAAATATGGCTCTTCCCTTTTCTCCTGCTTATTTAGACATGTATAACATTCGGATATGCTTAAAACTTAAACAATTGGGGCGCCTGGGTGGCTTAGTCGGTTAAGCGTCTGACTTTCGCGTAGGTCATGATCTCGCGGTTCGTGGGTTCGAGCCTCGCGTCGGGCTCTGTGCTGACTGCCAGCTCAGAGCCTGGAGCCTATTTCAGAGTCTGTATCTCCCTCTCTCTCTGACCCTCCCCTGCTCATGCTCTCTCTCTCTCCTAGAAATAAATAAAAATATTAAAAAAAAAAAAAACTTAAAACAAATGAATAGACTACTTAGGTATAATTTCCTAAAAAACACTAGAAGCCCCTTACTGTTTGGAAGAAACCTATTCGGCTGGGTTCCCTTGTGTTTTGGAGTTAGAATCCCAACTCCTCCCCTTAGATTCTCAAGGGTGATGCGTGTAAACAAATTGTATTGCATGGCAGGACTTTTTTTGGTTGTCTTGCCTGAAAGATCTGGGTCTTTACTGTCCTCTTTTGATGGCTCCGTTTTTTTTTTTTTTTTTAAGAAGTGTGTATTGTAACTCCCTTATGCTCGGTATTTGTTCTCTGTTGTCATACCTGGTTTGTATATTAGCATTAGGAGTGCTGGGTCACTAAAGACAGGCAGTTGGAGAGGTGGAAAGGTGGTTGACTTAATTTACTTTCAGCCCAGATTTGTTAAACAATATTCCTTCAGATCCTCCTTACAGCAGCTAAGAGGCTCAACACCTTATGAAGGAAATAACTTGGATGCTGCAAGCCAGTTTCTTTAGCGTTTACTCCCTTCCCCATAAAGTATGATGGAGAAGGATAAAATCTGCAAGTCCGCCCAACTGCGGTTTGGTGTCCAGTAGTATGAAAATCCTGCTGTTAACTTAAAAACGTTATGCAAGTGGTACATGAATAAAAGCTGATACAGGTAACTGGTTTTTTAAAAAACTTGCTTCACTTAAAAATTAAATGGCATAGTACTTCCAATGTGTGGGCAAAGACCTAATTCTCTGAACCTATTGTTCATTTTCCACTTGGGCTTTTAGATAAGAAAGTGTACTCATTCTTAATATGTTTAATTGGACTAAGTTATTATTGATACTGCTAAGTGCCATAAGGACATGTACATATGATTTTTTTTAATGTTTATTTTTGAGAGTGGGACAGAGACAAGGTGGGTGGGGGAAGAGCAGAGAGAGAGGGAGACAGAATCTGAAGCAGGCTCCAGGCTCCAAGTTCCAAGCTGCCAGTCAGCACAGAGCCTGATGCAGGGCTTGAACTCATGAACTGCAAGATTATGACCTGAGCCAAAGTCGGCCGCTTAACCAACTGAGGCCACCCAGGTGCCCATATGATTTTTTTTTTTTTTACATGTGATTCTTAAATTACATTTTTCTGAACTTGTAGTCGATACACTGTATATGCCAAAATTTTCATTAGGCAGGAAGCCCTCTCTCAGAAACCACATTCTATAGAGGAGAGGAAATGCCTTAGGGTTCCTTGACCATCAGAATCGGTTTACCCTTGGCTTGGGTACATAGCCATCATGTTGCCATGTTTTCTTCGTAATTTTCGTATTAAAAAAGAGGCTCTTGAGCTCATCTCACTGCTTTATTAAAATTTATTCGTTTTCCCTCTTTCCCTAAAAGGTGAGAAAGTTGAACTCTAAAATTTTACCATGGTATTCGGTGTGCTCTTATGGAGGAAAAGCATTAGAGAATAAAAATAGGGTTTAAACCTTTGGACGTCTGATAATATGCAGGTAAACATACTGGATAAATTCAAGTGTCTATTTCAGATGTGTCACGTTCACACTTAACCATTGTTTGTTACGTGAAATCATAAGTCCAGACCTTATTTGATAGTCCTGGAGGGTCTATGACTATCTCAAAGAGGCACCGAAAAACTAGGATGGCATTGGATTCCATTTCATACCCTAAATATACTAAGTGCAAGAGGGATGGACGGTATTCCCTGTTGAATCCTGCGCTCAAACCTAGTAACTAACACAGTAAATGCTCAGTATTTCTTGAGTGAAAGAATGAATTGCAGGAAAACGTGAGCTTTGGAAAATATTTGGGGGATGTGAAATTAAGTAAAAATGATTGGATTCTACAATTACCGGGAATGACCGCTGACAAAGTTACTCTGAGCATGTTAAAGAGAAGTGGTGTTATAAAAAGACAGTAGAGTATTTCATTCTATAATGGAAAAAGTAGATTTTGAAACCCAAGGATCAGAAGTTGATGTTCCCTCTGTGTCCTCTTCCAAACATCTTGAGAACTAAAGTAAGAAAAATTATTTAAAAATAGAACCTCCATTAATCTGAAGTGATTTTGAAAGTGTGGCCTCACCCCAGGGACCTTGCCCTGACTTGCTTTAGGGGTCCCTTGTATCTGGAGTCCAGTCCAGGGCATTTCCTAGTTCTGTTATGTTTTCTTTCTACAGCCTGATTCGGAAGGAAATGTTGGACTGATTTCAAGCATGTTTTAGGGTTGTTGTGTTCCATAGCATCGGCTTCAGGCTAACACCATTGGTCAGCGGGGCCTGGGGAAGCAGATCTATTAGGGGAAAAAGAATCCGTGTATTTCCTCCCACTGTAAATTAGGTCAGTGACTATTCTATGAGTAGCAGTCAGAGGGAGAGTTCACTGTCATCAGATTACTAGTAGTAAAATCCTATCTAGCCTGGCTTTCACAAGTGAATTTTCTAATGGTGCAGTCTGTTTATGTATAAGATTTAAAACAGAACTGCTTTTGATAAAATTCTCTAAGAAGCCATCTATGGTGCACTTAGTTGCCTTTGTGAAATAACAATATAGTTTTATCTTCCTTTAATGACTGAGTGCTTGCATGGTGGCATGGGTACATGGCCGAGAAGCTTGGCAGCTTGCTGACGTCTGACAAGTCCTTTTATACTTTAAAGGATCTCAGAGTGCTAGGACTTTTATCTTTGTGTTTTATACTTTCCTGTCTCCTCCCTCCAACCCAGACTCCCGTCCTGATTTCCTAGGTTAAATTAAAAGACACCAGTAAGCACGCTTGTCAGAATTGACTCTAAGATAATAGGAAGTGGGTTTCTAATTTGAGAAAAGGATGTTCTGCTATGAGTAATGTGCTTAAGCTTCAGTTTTTGGGCAACCAGAGAGCTTTGCTTGCATCTTTGTCTTTTTATTTATGTATTTATTTTAGAGAGAGAGTGGGGGGGGGCGGGAAAGAAGGAGAGAGAGAGAGAGAGAGGGAAAGAGAATCTTAGAGACAGAGAGAGAGCAGTGGAGGGGCAGAGAGAGAGAGAGGGAGAGAGAATCCCAAGCAGGTCTGCACTGTCAGTGCAGAGTCCAAGGTGGAGCTTGAACCCACGAACCGTGAGATTGTGACCTGAGCCGAAACCAAGAGTCCGATGCTTAATTGACTGAGCTACCCAGGCGCCCTGAGGGAGAGAGAATCTTAAGCAGGCTCCATGTTTAATGTGGAGCCCAATGCGGGGCTCCGTCTCACAACCTTGGGCTCATGACCTGAGCCGAAAACAAGAGTCAGATGTTCAACAGACTGAGCCCCCCAGGCATGCCTCTCTTCTTTTATGCATGCTGTGGGTAGTATCCTGGAAATGCTGAATTTGTCTGATGAAGGGACCCTGTAATGAATGTAGTGCTGTATTAAAACAAGACAGCTCGAGATTAACTATCTTAGTCCTCAAAATTGCAGTCGATTTGTCATTGCCTGGTTAATACTTTGCTTCCTCTCTGCCATAGGTAATCCTTTTTAGTGCCTACCTGCCATTGTCTTCCTTTTGCTTTTTGTATTTAGTTTTCTGGTTCACCATATATGCTAATTATGAAGTAATTAAAATATCAGTTCTGCATTGAAGTCTCCAAAGGACAATACACATAGATAGGTCTAGAACAAATATGACTATTGTCTTTTGAATGGCCTCTCCCTAATACTCCTTTAATGAGTGTCCATTATGTCTGCATTGGGTAAATAAGTTAGTCTTCCTCATCCTGGCCTTCCCTTTCCTTTAAAGTATTTTTCCCTCATATTGATTAGAATGGTTGAATAGGCCCTCTGCATTAACATGTGGTTAAATAAAACTCAGGCAACGACAATTTGAAAAAAATCCCAGTGGGGTTTGTGCATTGAATATTTTAAAGCAGTTAAAGGAGCACCTGGTTGGATCAGTCCGTTAAGGGTCCGACTTGGGCTCAAGTGATGATCTCCCGGTTCGTGCGTTCGAGCCCCGCCTCGGGCTCTGTGCTTGCCAGCTCAGAGCCTGGAGCCTGTTTCAGATTCTGTGTCTCCCTCTCTCTCTGCCTCTCCCCCACTCACACTCTGTTTCTCTCTGTCTCAAAAATAAACAAACATTTAAAAAATAAAGCAGTTAGAGAAAACCTTCCCCCCACCCAAGACTTTTATGTTTTGAACTGGAATGATTTTAGCAAATATTGGTGCCAAGTAGATTGACAGTAGATAGAGAGGTAGCCGCAGCGACGTATGCTTGGAGTAATGACTGAGACCTAATGTTCTACTTAGATTAGAAGTACTCTCAATAATTTTAACCGTGGACTGTGCGGCTGCATTTTGTAGCTTATCAAAGTACAAAAGGGTGGTGTGCAAAGTAGGTAATTGTGAAGGGAATTTAAACCAACGGGTCATGTAACACCTGTGCAGCCAGTTTGTAAAATAAACTCAAATAAAGCTTTCAGTCCTAGTGACAAACAGGAGACATTCACACCTTTTGTCTCTTACAGTGAAATTCGAACTGTACTGATGATATAATAGGACTGGAGAAGAGGAACAACATCCCGAGGACATTCTCCGCTGTCACTTCACCGTCTTGGTCATCTTGCCGGAAAGTGCCAGACGTGGGGGGAGGGGGGTTGTTAACAATTACGTTTTTTTCTTCCTACTCTAAATCTAAACAATACTCCTATCTCAATAAACAGTCGATGCCTGAACCAGAAACCTGAGGCCCTGCTTATTCTGCAGAAATTTAGGACAGATTTAGAAGGGAGATGTAAGATGTGTGTTACCCTTTTCATTTTTTAAAAGTTTATTTATTTATTTACCTTGAGAGAGAGCATGAGCAGGGGAGGGGCAGAGAGAGGGAGGGAGAGAGAACCGCAAGCAGATTCTGCACTGCCAGTGCAGGACTCGAACTCCGGAGCCGTGAGACCACTGCTGGAGCTGAAATCAAGAAGTCAGACTCTCAACTGACTGAGCCCCCCCAGGCGCCCCAACGTTTTGCAACATAAAGTCATTTCCTCAGACAGATTTTTCATTACCTTCCCATGTTGCTGATGGTGGCCATTTTCAGCAGTCGGTACTGCTCAGAATTGAGGCGATTTGCAGAGAGATGGCTGGACTGGCTTAGAAAGCAAAGGAACCTCCAGAAACAGAGAGTGTGGGGGCGCCTGGGTGGCTCAGTGGGTTAAGCGTCCGACTTCGGCTCAGGTCATGATCTCAAGGCTCATGGGTTCGAGCCCTGCGTTGGCTCTGTGCTGACAGCTAGCTCAGAGCCTGGAGCCTCTTTGAGATTCTGTGTCTCTCTCTCTCTGTGGCCTTGTCCTGCTCAAGCTGTCTCTCTCTCAGAAATAAAAAAACATTAAAAAAAAAAAAGAAAAGAAACAAGGTGATTTTGATACTTAAGATAGTTAAGCTAAGCCTGTAACAGAAGCTCATTTCTCTTTCACTTAACTGTGCCGAAGGGAGCAGTCCAGGCTGGCTTGTGCTCGTAAAAGACACTTTCCCCAGGACACTGTCACTCTGTGCACGATCTAAGCTGGGCCGCCACCATGTCTGGATCTTAGCTCAGAGAGAAGAGCACACACCCCGAGGTGGCAGTCTTCATTTCTGCCCTTGTCTGTTGGCCCGAGCTTCATCATATGGCCTTATCCAACTGGGAAATACCATCCAGACTGTTCCCGAGAGGAAGGGTAAATGGATTTTGGCAGAAAAATAGCAATCTTTTCCAAATCTTTTTTTTTTTTTTTTTGGACAGGAAATGGCTTAGGATTAAAATCTTTAAGAAGAAAATTATACTATGGCAGTATCTGGGAATAAAATATACATGAACTTGTTTCCCTGAATTGATAGTTGCTGCCGAGTAGGGCTCCTTATCAGCTCCCCACAGTGTGTTTGCCGCGAGTTAAATACCCACGTGCAAAGCCTTCCTTGTTTCAAGAGGGCTGCTATTTTTCTATTTCCCTTCCATTCTTGATTGTATTTTAGTATATCGGAAATATCTTGGAAGTCTGGCCTTCAGCACAAGTCCTGGTTTTCTTCAGAGAGAACAATATAGAAAACCTTTTCCTCTTACGTTTTTATAGATCTTGCTTCTCTGGGATGTTGCTGCGCTTACTTCTCCTCCTTTCTCTACTTTCTAGTTCTTTTTTATTTACAGTTCCTGCTTGGTTTTCCCTTAGAATAGCGTTCTGTGCTTAAAATACGGTGATCTTTGCTAATTTTTACTAATTTACTAGTTTTACTGATTTACTCGGTCCTTAAAAGAAAACGTCTAAACTGCGCCAGAAAAGGGGGAAAAACTCACACCATTAGTGGGTACTGCGTGGACTAGAGGCTCCGTGTAAGTGTCGTAATTAAAATTTAAGGATGAGGCTTACCCTCTCGTAATTCTTAATCACTTTCGTTTTTAAAATATTTTTTTAAATTTCAAAAAAATTTTTTTAACTTATTTCTAGGACAGAGAGAGATAGGGTGAGCAGGGGAGGGTCAGAGAGAGAGGGAGACACAGACTCTGAAATAGGTTCCAGGCTCTGAGCTGGCAGTCAGCACAGAGCCCGACAAGGGGCTCGAACCCACAAACTGTGAGATCATGACCTGAGCCGAAGTCGGACACTCAACCGACTGAGCCACCCAGGCACCCCTTAATCACTTTCGTAAGTTTAATAAGATTCATCATAAATGGGGCAGAGCCGCCAGCTGTCAGCAGAACCCATCCTGAGAGATGGTCACGAATGCTCTTGTTGAGAAGGGCAGCCATCCGGCTGAGTCAGGACAGCTGTACTACGCGCATGGTCTTGGGAGGGGTTAATCAAAAGTCACTGATGTGGGCGCCTGGGTGGCTCCATCGGTTAAGCGTCCAGTCATGACCTTGCAGTCCGTGGGTTTGAGCTCCGCATGAGGCTCTGTGCTGACAGCTCAGAGCCTGGAGACTGCTTCACATTCTATGTGTCTCTTTCTGCCCCTCCCCCGCTTGTGCGCGCGAGCGCACTCACTCTCTCTCTCTAAAAAATAAAAGCTAAAAACAGTAATCGATGCAAAGAAAGCCATGACTCGTGCAAGTATCTGTATCTGAATTATCCAGCTGCCTGTCTATCTTGCCTTCAGGAATATATTGTCACAGAGAGGGGTAGTGTCCATATGATGTCTGGAGAAAAAAAGAACCAAGAAAGAATATTGGTCCATGTGTCTCTGTTCATGTAGGTGAGAAGGTGTCCTAGGCAAGCCACACTAATGTGCTGAATAGATGAGAGAAATAAAGGAAAACACTTCTTGGAAATAGGAAGTAAATACGCATTCAACAAATATTGACTGCCTTTAGAGTTGTAAGTACTGGGCTAAGTAGTAGGTAAACTCACAGGCTATTTGGTAATAGATCTATAAAAACTGAACGCTAGACTAATCATATGTTGCATAAATTATGTTGTGCATGAGAGGTCTTTGGGGTCAAGCTAGTTGGGATTCAGTTTGAGGGTGAACACCACTTCCTGGAAGCATGAGTTGGAGTGAGCTAGTTCACCTCCTTAACCCCTGCCTCATTTGTGTAAGGGAAACAGTTATTGTATTTATTTTAGAAGGTGGAGGAAGGATTAAATGAAAATAATGTATAATGGGGCTCCTGGGTGGCTCAGTCGGTTGGGTGTCTGACTTTGGCTCGGGTCATGATCTCAGGTTTGTGAGTTCCAGTGTCGCCCCCTCTCTATCCCCATCGGGCTCTGTGCTGATAGCGCAGAGCCTGGAACCCACTTTGACTTCTGTGTTTCCCTCTCTGCCTCTCCCCTGTCCCCCACCCCTCAAATATAAATAAACATTTTAAAAAATAAATACAAATAAAAATAAAATGGTGAGAGGCGTTGTTTACATAGCCAGGGGCGGTGCGGGGACCAGGACCCAGGCTTCTCTAGCCCAGCATGTTGTAGGTTAGAGTGCCATTTTGACATTTTCCCCCAGTGGACGGGGCTTGGCGGGCAGGGGCCCTGTGCTGAGAAAGAGCCAGGCTCAGGCTTGGTAGGGGAGAGCCCCAGCTCATGCGAGCAGAAGGAAGCGGCAGCCCACGTGACCCACATGTACTCTCTGTATTTTAGACCGTGTTGTCTACATGGCCTTTTGTGTGGATACTTTGCAGAGTTGGGGAGAACTTCCTTTATAATGATTCTCTATGAAATATTAGCTTTGTTTCGCTTTGTGACTCATCGAGAAAATAAATACGCATGCTTCAAATTTCACTGCTTCATTGTTACAGAGGCAAACAATGAAATTCTCGGTATTAAGAAAACAGGATTTTCAGGGCAATGCAAAGCCACATAGATGAGGACGATTAGTTTCATGAGGAGATGGATGTGTGTGTATTTATATAGGTGCGTGTATATATCTTTATTATGTTTGTATGGGTATATGTATATTTTTATATGAGGTATATGTGTATATATCATATCTTTACTGTATTTGTGTGTGTGGGTGGGTGGGTGTGCGCAAAAAATGGTTCAGAGAGATGTAGAAGGTCTGGGGTGAGGCATGTGTATTATAGATTTAGAAATCATGCAGGCTAGGGGCGCCTGGGTGGCTCAGTTGGTTAAGCGTCCGACTTCAGCTCAGGTAATGATCTCGCTGTTCGTGGATTCAGGGCTGGAGTCTGGCTCAGATTCGGTGTCTCCCTCTCTCTCTCTGTACCTCCCCCACTCGCTCTCTGTCTCTCCCTCAAAAATAAATAAACATTAAAAAAAGAAGAAGAAATCACCCACATGATTTTGACACTCAGCTAGGTGTAGGAAGCCCTGAACTGCCGGCAGATCTTAGGAGTCTCCCTGCCTGAGTTGAGCAAGTGCTCTGTGAAGTTTAGAAAGACCAAGCATACAGGAAGAATAAGAAGGAGTCTGATGAAAATTCAGAAAATCCTGAATGTCAGGAACAGGATGAACACGAATGCACTCACCAAATCTTGAAATACCAAGACGAGGTAAATTTATTCAATTTGATTCTTGCCCGTGTAAATATGTCCATATTTGTCCCTAACGTGTCAACAGAGGAAACACAGAATTCAGAGTGCCGGGGACCCTGTCAGGGAAGGGACCCTTTGGCAGGCTCCAATAGCTGGCCTGCCTGTGGGAGCAGCCCTTTGCCACCAACCCTGTAGATGGTCCACCCGGGAAGGTCAAGTTCATTCTGCTTCTTAAAAGGAAAGGTCAAGGGGCACCTGGGTGTCTCAGTCAGTTAAGCATCTATCTGACTTTGGCTCAGGTTATGATCTCATGGTTCATGAGTTCAAGCCCTGAGTCAGGCTCTGTGCTCACAACTCAGAGCTTGGAGCCTGCTTCAGATTGTGTCTCCCTCTCTGCCCCTCCCTTGCTCACAGTCTGTCTTTCTCAGAAATAAACAGACATTTAAAAAATTTTTGGAAAAAAAAGGAAGGGTCTAATATGAGTCAGGATTCTTTAGATTGCAAATGCCAGAAACTTGATTCAAAGTGGTTTCTTAGCAAAGGGAAGGGGGCTGTATTGACCCCTGTTGCCGGGGGAGGACCCGGGCGCAGCTCACGGAGCTGAAGATGCCGCTGAAAGACTGGGTTCTGGGGCTTGCTTGTGAGCTCTGCCGCGGAAAGTCTGTCTCTTCTCCAGCTTTCCTTTCACACACTCTGGCCTTCCTGACATGCTGGCCTCAGTCTTCCCAGCATGTGAGACCTCCGCGGTGGGGATGGTCCCCAGATAGCGCCTCTGATGAAAGGG